GCGAAGAAAAAAATTTTGTTTCACCATGACAATGCTCCCTCTCACAAGAGCGTTGTCGCCATGTCGAAATTGTGTGAAATGCACTACGAAATTCTACCCCATCCACCCTATTCTCCAGATTTAGCACCCTGTGACTATTATTTATTTCCAAACTTAAAAAAATTGCCTTGGGGGTAAGAAATTTCAGTCAAATGAACAGGTAATCTGTGAAACAAACGGCTATTTTGAGGTCCTGGATAAATCCTATTTTATGGGAAACTGAAGGATCGGTGGTCCAAGTGCATAAGTCTAAAAGGAGATTATATTAGGAAATAAAAAAGGATAATAAAAAAAAAAAATTATTTTCTAATGCCGACTTTTATCAGTCTACCCCAGAGGTCGGCACGGCCCTATCTCGGGGGCATAGGAAATTTCTCTGCCCGAGCTCTGCCACACACAGACAGTATAAATGTGTGAAACGTCATGCTCACAGCCTACTTTCTGCTATTCGTTACTAACACTAATGCGGTAAGATCATATCAATGAATTGGGATGCCGACCACTGGTCTACCCTCGTATTTACATGAAAGAACAATAAGAGTCTTATTTAAAAATGTACATTTCCGCTTGTTCCGTGCTACATCTGAAGTCACTCAATGAAGTCGTCTTAGCCCGCTACTATTAACTCTTTTTATGTACGAGTTGCCCCCTACTTTAACGAACTTTCTAGTTTTTAGGTATGAAGATGATGTTAAGCTTTGTTCTTCAGTACAAATGCATCTCTGCCCAATGCAATCTTCAAACCGATCTTGAAAATTTTCAAAAATGGTGTTTAGCGAATGATCAAATACTTATTGGATCAAAATGCAAGCTTACTATTAACTATTTTACTATATTTATTATTCAATTATAGAAAAAAGTATTTTGTTTCAAAAAGCAACGAGTAATCATTTCAAAATATTTTCCAATTCCACTTCTACAGCCATTGTAAGAAAAACTGAAACTTTTTCGAAAAACTGAAGGTTCTGAAAACTGAGTTCTCATTTTTCTGGGTTTGGAATATCCAAAATCAAAATTTTATTGATTCTTTTAAAGAATACATAAATGTAAGTACAAACAAAGAATTTAAAAAAAAAAATATTTTTGACAAAATGTCTGAACTTTGAAAAAAAATTTCGTTTTTTTCCAAACATTTGTTCATTAAACTGCCGATGAAACAAAATTTTTCCTTCATTATCTGGGGAATATATCTAAAATATGGTGTCGAATTTTTCTACAGATAAGTTGATTTTTTTTTGAGAAATCGAGAGAAGCAACTTTAGAAACTCTTTTTTGATATATATTTTTTTTATGTATGTACATATATGTAGATTATAATAAAATAAAACCCATTTTTTTTATTTTTTGAAAATTCTAAATGCGTATAACTCTTCAATAACATATTTTTTACATTTTCTCTTTATTTTTGGGGAAGGTATAGGTATGAGGTAGAAGGTAGAGTATATACCATATATTCATGATCATCCCCTCATAAGGATTAACTCATAATCAAACAATTTTAAAATAAAATATAAAATTTAATGAAATTTTTTTTCTGAATCTGGGCGTTGTTTTACAGAGAAGGTGCCAACAACATTGTTTTTTTTAACGATTCCAATTTTTCCTACTCCAATTTTTTTTTTTTATCGAAATAAAAATTGTATTTTTTTGTGGGTAAAATGTTGTCTCTGTTTGGAGCTTTAAGATGGAACCAATTTTTTGTGGGCAACAAGTACGGGGGACTTAGCATTCCGTTAAAGTTTTAAGAAAAAAAGTGAACAGAAAATTTAAAAATAATTTTAATGTAATTCACATGTATAGTCGAAAGACTATCGAATCCTAATCTTTTTCAACAAAAGTACTGATTCGAAGGTATAGAATACTTTCTGGATGTCTACACAAATTTACAATCAATGCCACTGACGAAGAAATTTCGTTCGTTAGAAATTTTCGAACTTTCTGAAATGATCATAACTGATAACAGTGAGAACTGTTGAGAATAAACCAGCAAAAATCCTTTTCATCCAAGCAATTAACGAGTTTGTGGCGTGCAAATCGAGAAAGCGGCGATTAGATTTCAGGACTATACAACATATCGAGTCCTATTTGCAATAAAACGTAAAAACAATTTTTTGTTAGAACATTTTTTTATGCAAATGAGTACATATGGGCATTTCCAAAATCGCGCACGGGACATTCGTACGCGCTCAAAGTAAAAAAACTGTAAAAAGGAAACAATTTTTTTTTTAAATTTTATGTTTAAGGATGTAGTCTCATGTGTGAGGTTGAAAAAATCAATTTTTTTTTTTTTTTATATTTTGGTAGTATTGTTTATTATGAATGTACTGTTAAAGTTTCAAATAAAAATATCAAATAATGACAGAGATACAGCCCAGAATCGAGAGCGCGCCTACACCGAAAAGTATGAGTTTCTCGGTAGCGTCTAAACTTTAAACGCGTTTTTCTCGAAACGACATTTTTGTGTGCGGCGCAGGTGATTCACAAAATTCTATGGTACCGATCTAGCTGAAATTTGGATATGTTGTTCTTAAAAGTAACACCTCTGTCCCCTACTAGAATCATTTATTTTTAATGATTAGTTTTTTTTTTATCATTAATTTAAGATAAATTTTTTAAATTTTTTTTAATTTTTTGTTTTGTGAGTTCGCCATTTTGTTGTTTATTGATGAAAATATTTCATTCTAGTACGGGACAGAGCCATTAGCTTACAAAACAATAATCTATTCTAATTTTTTGTTTCGGATGACTCTAGCAGTCGAAATCACCTGCGCCAGGGACCTATCTTTTTTTTTTATATGCATACTTTGGCATGCTATAAAGTGTATTAAACTACACAAGAATAAATTAAACGAAATATTTTCAAATAGTTTATGATGCTTATAAAAACATATGTGAAAATTGAAACGATCGCATTATTTGTTATTACAAAAAAAATTTTTTGAAATAACCTCTAAAAAGTAGGCCGGCACATGAGACTACATCCTTAATGCATAGCATTTTATTAGCTTTTTCATTGGTGCAAAGATTGATGTTGGGTATTTTTCCATTTGGAAGATAATTGCAGAAGTCGAGTGATTCGCACGGGACTCAGAACGGAAGTGGCTTAAGAGGTCAACCAATTCAAACGCCCATTTCAGCGAATCCAAATGCAATATTTTAATGCAACTAATTTTAAACTTTTGTGCATTGATGCCTCTTCAAAAAGGTTAAAAAAATTTTCAAAGATAACTTGTATTTTTTTTTTAACGTCATTTGAAGTAAATTCGCACGGGACATCGTGCACGGGACATCGTGCACGGGACATTTTTTACCACCACTATTTTCGTAATTATACCCTTGCATAGGGTATTGTAATTTTGATCAAAAGTGTCAAACGCAGTGAAGGAGACATCTCCGACCCTATAAAGTATATATATTCTTGATCAGGATCACCAGGAGTTGATATGAGCATGTCCGTCTGCTGTCTTTTTCTACGCCAACTAGTCTCTCAGTTTTAAAGTCTTGAAACTTTGCACACACCCTTCTTTCCATTGTCTGCAGTATATAAGTCGGAACGGCTGGGATCGGCCGACTATATCCTAATGCTGCCATATAACTGAACAATCGGAAATGACCCAACTTTCTGAAGATAGAAACATGTTACATGGTTGTATGATTGTATTTTTGGTTAGTTAATCCTATTAACCATATTTCATAACAATCGGTCGACTATATCTTATAGCTACCATATAACTGAACGATCGGAATTGGTATTTGATAAAAATACCAACTTTGGTGTTCTTGAAAATAGAAGCTTGGGACTTTTTTTTAAACATTTTTTATTGTAATTTTTGTATTTTTTATTGTAATTGGTTATATTATAACCGATTTTTGCGATATATGTCCGGTTTTAACTGCAAGGGTAAATCAACTTCGGGTCCGCCCGAAGTTAGGTTTCTTTTCTTGTTTGTACTTACAGTCGCGCACGGGACAAACTTCAAATGATCACCAAAAATACAAATATTTTTTTTCTCCAATTTTTTTATTAAATATTAACTGCACACTAAAACTCAGTTTGCAACAAAAATTTGATGCAATTCGAGCAAGTGCTTTGGATCTACGGATAAAAAATGTTTTTCAGTCGCGCACGGGACAATAAAATAAGCGATAATGTAAATACAAATTTTTACCGGTATTGGTGATCGCCTGTTACATTTGCGTTCCTTTTCCATTTATTTAATCTCAAAGTGATTTTAGAAAGCAAAATGGAAAGCATAATTCATTTATTTTAGAAGTTGTTATAAAAACAAAATACGGCATACAAACATCATACGGACAACAGCTGTGTTTGCGCGACTTTGCATTCGAATATTTTGAAATCTGTAAAAGATGAATGCAAAATTCTTTCAAGTTTAATAAACTTGAACATTTCCTTTCTGTGGACCTTTCTGTGGAAATGCCCATATGTATGTTATTACAAACCGCTATATATTTTTAAAAACGTACTTAGACCTGTCAAGCGACAAACGCCTATGTTAGTGGCTGATAAAATAACGCGAAAAAAACTCCTGTAAAATTTGCTTTTTGGCGTTATGGCGCAAATATACATATGTACTATATACACCGCGTCACTAAATTGGCGCAAATCAGATATTTGAGGGGAGAAGAGGGTTTTACAATTTTTTTTTCTGAACTTCAAATAAATGCCTAAAATAAATATTACCAAAAAGGTTGTGTTAAAAAAACAAGCGTGTGAAAAATGAAGCTATGACTATTTCTAGGGATTAGAGTTTCTTATTAGAAACATATAACAAAGAAGCATTTTTCTCACACGGTCAATGGCCATCATTGTTTCAAAATTACTGTACTGATTGTTTTCAAAATTCGAACATTACTTCTGTATATATTTTATCAGATAACGCTTAAATTTATTTTTTAATCAGTTTGATTTTACCACAAAACAAAATGAAAAATAAGCTTACATGCTGCATAGTATTTTCTTGAATAAATTGAGGATCACCTTCTTGCAATATACGCAAGAATATTTTAAGAGAAGATTCTAGGAATGATGGATAGGCAGGGCTTTGCATTATGATTTCAAAGTGTTCACTAAGCTCTTGGGTAGCTTTTAACTTAATTTCTTCTTTTGAAGACGAGTCGTTAAGAATATTCAAATAATTACGGAAGGTATTAACGGGAATTCCTTCATTGACCGACATTTTCGTTAATTTTTGATCTATTTCACCGGTGTAAACAAAAGCAACTCGGGGATGAATTCACGATTGTCGTAAAGACCAGGGATGCAGCTTATAGCCAAGACTACGTCGAATGCTTAACATTCAAAAAGAATGTTTATAGCACTGTTTCTATTTCAAAAGCGAACCATTAAATTAAAAAATTTTCATATAGGATTTGTAGTTTATTTTAATACATAACAAAAATTAAAGTCTTTTAAAAAATTATATGAAAACTTATGACAGCAAAGAATAATATATTTGATGAGCAAAAATGTATTCCTTCAGTGTGAACTGAATATTTCAGAGTGCTGTCAATCAGCTGTATTTTCTTAAAAATTGATTTGTATTATAAGCTAACATTACATGTGACATGAAAATTAAAGAATGAGTGAATGCGACTGTGTAGGTCTCACTCGCACAACATTCGGGGGATGAAACCCAAATTGAATGAGTTAGAGTAACAGATCGCATTCGAATTGTTTCGAATGCATTCTGGAATGTACGATACAACTATGCATATTTTCCAGTATTTTTAGACGCGGATAATAAAATAATTTAAAAGTTGAAGCAAGTCATTGTTTTTTTTCAGAAATATTCATTATAATGTTTTAGATATTTTACATATGTATATTTTACTTATACGAATGTAAAAATATGTTCAATATATGTATATTAATAAATATATTTCCAACACAAGTTTTGGCGCTAAAAAATATTGTATAATATAAATATAAAACTATATCCCATAGCTGCCATATAACTAAACGATCGGAAATAGTTTGTGGTAGAAATACCAACTTTGGTATTTTTGAAGATAGAAGCTTGGGACATTTATTTAAATATTTTATTACAATTTATTGGTTTTATAATGATATTCTCATAAGGATCGGCCAACTATATTCGATATATATCCGGTTTTAAATGCAAGGGTATATCAATATCGGCAGCGCCCGAATTTATCTTTCCTTTCTTATTTCTACTTTGTTTTTGATAAAAAAAAATCTACCCAAGCTTTTTTAATACTTTAAGGTTTGGCCTCTCATGCCTCTACATGTCCTTTTCAAGGTGATTTTGATAGCCGCAAACAAAAAATTGGTTTCGAGAAAACCTCTTTGTCGGCCGTTGAAACGCATTCCATTTCAGCGCCATAACTTTTGACGGGATAGAATATTTATATATTTATATGAATCAAAATATTGTATTTAAATATTTATTATATATTTTACACACATACGTTTATACTATTTGTTGAAACATAATTTTTTAAACCGACATGACCCTCCTAAGGTATTTAAAAAAATTTTGAACAGAAGTTGCTCATATGTAAGTAACAAATATTTCCATATATGTATTTTTTTTAGGATTGAGGGCAACGGAATATTACAAGCTAAAAGAAGAAAAAATTATCCTTTTTGGATTTTGAATTATCCTTCACTATTATATCTTTAAGGATATTTATTTATTTTTTTATTTTTTCTTTATTACGGCAATAATAAAGCCGTCCGTCTTGCCAAATAAAATATTGCCAAATAAACAATATAAACAACTCCTCTTAAGTAAACTCAGGCTTTTGGGTTTCTAATGGATCTTCTGAATAGGATTTCGAGCTACTTAACGTGCCAACGTGATTCTACTAAGCTACTAACGTGCCTCTTTTATGAATGTTTACTTGCAAGAAGTTTGTTTTACATCTGGTGTCCCTCATGGAAGCCATCGTGGACCCTCACTTTTTACACTCTTTATAAATATTAACCCCTTGCCTCAACTAGATCACTGGTATTTACAATTCACTAGCAGTTTTTTTTTTTGCTTCCTGGTTCCTTCCTCAGAGCGTGGCCAATCCATTTCCATTTCCGTTTCTTTATTTGTTCCTGGATTGGGACCTCTCCTGTGCAGTGCCATAAGTCCTCATTGGATATTCTATCTGGCCAGAATACCCCAAGTATTATTCTTAGGCACTTATTGATGTAAGCCTGCAGCTTCATCAATATCCTTTGATTGGTCAGCCACGTCTCCGATCCGTATAGCAGTATGGATTTTACACACGAGTTGAATATGCCCAGCTTTGTTTTTCTGTTTATCTGCTGGTTTCTCCATACTCGGTGTAGTCTTCCAAATGCAGACCTCGTTTTGCGCAGTCGGTTCTCCACATCACTTTCCACTCCACCATTTGATGTTATGATAGTACCGAGGTAGGTGAAGCTGTCGACGAATTCGATGGTATTATCTCCGATTGTGATGTTGTTTGTGTTGGAGTTGTTGATCCGCATAGCTTTCGTTTTTGATGCGTTGATCTTTAAGGGGTTATATACAGTTGTACCGCGCAAAAATATGGATTTTTATCGATTTGTTTTTGACACCATAGAAAATATATATGAAAAATGTTTTACCGACGTTGTTTAGTACATGTTTCTGGGTACCTAATTAAATTTTTTCATAAAAAAAATATTACATAACAAAAATGTTATAGCCGAATTCCCGGATCGTCTTTTTTCGATGGTGTCTTGCGGTGGACATGATTTCTCGAAAACGGTTCATCCGAAATCCAAAATTCAAAAAAGTTTAGTTAGTATATTGTATTGTCTAGTCCGTGAACGAGGGATTTTTAAAAATTTTGATTAAAAAAAAAATGGCGACGTTTTTAACAAAAAATGTACTTTTTCAACGTATAAGATTTTCGTTTTTTGTGCTTTAAAAAAGGAGTTTTCAAAAAAAAGTGGTCAAGTGGTTGAAAATCCCTCGTTCACGGACTAGCTAATATCATAATAAATAAGTGGTCAAAATTTGGTGTTGATCGGATTAGTAGTTTTTTAGTAATCGTGTCCACCGCAAAAGCAATTTCCCAAAAAAAAAGATTCTGAGATAATCGCGTTTAAAGTTTCAAGTTTGTTCAAGTTTTATATGCAGATAGTGCGCTATAAATAGCTACAGCTTCTGTTCCAATGCTCCGATCGTTATGAATTTTTGTGAGAGTATTCCCAATAGAATATACTTAAAGAATATGCAATAAAAAAAAAATCGATTTTTTCATATATCACAACTGTATATAACCCCTTAAGCCTACTGCGCTGGCTCGGATCTCGAGGTCCCTAGATTTGGCTTGAATGTCTTCGAATTTGTGAGCCAAGAGACATAGATCATCCGCGTTATCCAAGTCTTCTAGATGTCGGGTGAAGTTTCAGGTGATTCCGCGTCTGTTCATGCATACTTCTCTCATAATTTCGTCGAAGTGGTGATAGAGGACATCCTTGCTTTACGCCTGTGTTCGTCCGGAAGGGTGCACTAATTTTCCCGTTGTGCAGTACCGCCAGCTCAGCATCATCACACATAGCTTTCACTATGTTTATGATTTTCACTGGCACTCCCTTTCTTAGGGAGGGCAAGTGCCCTCCATATCGCTGCTCTGTCTACCGAATCGAATGCCTTCTGGAAATCTATGAAAAGGAGGTACAGCGGCGAGCGCCATTCCACAGTTTGTTCGGTTATTGCGCGTAGTGTGTTTGCCTGGTCTACGCAGCTCCTGTGTGGTCTGAAACCTCCTTGTTCATCTCGTATTGTTGGCTCTATTTTTTCCTGAAGACGTTCGTTTAGTAGAGTGGCTGGTACCTTGTAACTTGTGTTCAACAGGGTAATGCCTCGCCAGTTGTTGCAGTCACTGAGGTCTCCTTTCTTCGGTAGCTTAATGATGATTCCTTTTTTCCAGGATGTTGGGATCCGCTCACTTTCCCATATATTATTGAAATGTGGATGCAGTGTTTCGGCCATTAGTTGCGTGTTAATCTGGAGAAGTTCGGCCGGTATGCCGTCATCTCCAGCCGCTTTGTTGCGTTTTAATTTCCTGATCGCATCCTTTATTTCTCTAATTGATGGTGCCGTGGGTGATATTCTGAGGTTATTGCTTGGTACAATACTCCTGAAGTTATCTTGCGTGCTGCTCGGTTGTTCTGTGCAGCTGATCTCCATAAAGTGCTGTCGCCATCTCTGGAGTTGTGCCTCATCATCAGTAAGGAGTCTTCCATCTGGGTCCCGCACTGGTTGGGTTCGCCTATGGCAGCTTCCGGTCAGTTGACTGATAATCTGGTACAGTGAGCGCATGTTGTTCGAGTTGGCTGCGCTTTCTGCATTTTCAGCGAGCCTGTCCAGAAATTTTCTTTTGTCGTTTCTTGCTGACTTCTTCACCATCTCGCGAGCTCGCAGTCATGATCTGCTTTCGACTTTAGGCTGTTCCGTTTGCTGATAAGTTCCCAAGTGTGCGCTGATATCCAATCCGTGCGCCTGCGTTGTCGGGTGCCAAGCATCTCCTCCGCGGTGCTCCTCAGTATACTGCATGTTTGTTCCCATGAGTGATTCAATGGTTGCGTTGTCATCTGTTCACGCAACGTTGTGGCCATTCTGGTGGATAGGTTGGAGTCATTCAGCCGTTTTACGTTAATGGGAGGCGGTCTTCTTGTGGTCCTGTTGACAGTGTTGCTATTTCGTCTGAGCTTGATTAAAAGCTCTCCGATTATCAGCTCGTGGTCACTGTCGATAGACGCACTTCTCCTATTTCTAACATCCATTATCGAGCGTCTCCATTTCCTACTTATGCAGATGTGGTCGATTTGGTTGCGAGTATGTCCATTCGGAGAGGTCCATGTGTATTTATGGATTTCCTTGTGTTGGAATACAGTGCCACCAATAACCAGTTGGAAGGTCTGACATAAGTCGATTAGCCTGTCACCATTATTGCTGCGTGTGCCAACACCATGTCGGCCCATGATTGTTTCCAATCCGTTGTTGTTGGGGCCGATTTTCGCATTGAAGTCTCCCATGAGAATTTTTATGTCACCTCTTTCGATCCTAGTGAGTGAGGATGTGAGGAGTCGTCTAGAAGTCGTTGTAAAAGTCGTCTTTGAAGTCATCGCTGGCGTCTTCTGTTGGGGCATAGCATTGCACGATGGTGATGTGTCTAGCATTGCATCGGAATCTGGCAATGATGATTCTGTCGGAGGAAATTAGTGTCTGTTTGTACTGTTTGGACATATATATCCCGACTCCGCTCCTGCCTCCATCATT